ATTTAAAAATTTCTTCCTTTGCAATTCCCCACAGCTGGCACTACAGGATTTCGTACTTGTCCACCAGGAAGGTGGTTTCAGTGGAAAACCTCACAGGGCTGTTTCCATCTACCTGGGTCACTTTGGTAACCTGTGGAGAAGAAGGGGCACTCACAGGCTGCTCCCACCACAGCGCCGCCGCACAGCCCCACGCCACAGCCTTCGAGCCCTGAGCCGGCCCCGACCCAAGGTCTTTGCTCTCAGGAAACCTGCCAACGGGGGGAGGATTTTCTGGGGTAACTGTCTCTGCTGACAGTGGCCTGCAAGGAGCCTGGCCAGCAGACAACCAAGAAGGCTTGAAAAAGGCAGGAGTGACACCATGCCTGTGGCATGCCGGCAGCAGCCATACCTGTATGTTGCAATAGTTCTTTTTGGAGACGAAGGAGACGTGCACCGGGAAGAAGTCGTTTGGCTGCCCTGTTATGCTGAACTCCAGGCTGCCGCTCTTGTTTTTGGCATCTATCACTGGCAGGCACCACTCGAGGAGGTTTCGCCGGCTGTCGTGGCGATACTCACCATCAATCTCCCCGATCACTGGGGCGCCGACCCCAGACCTAGAGCAGACAATGAGAGGTCACCATAGCTCACCCTCTCAGAGCTAAGGACACAGCCAACTCTGCTCAGCAGGGAGGGGAAGAGCTGGGATGGTGCTCATCAGCACTGCCCAGCCAAGGGGCAGTACTTACGGCAAGGGGATGGTGATGATGACATCGTTCAGCTCGAGGCTCTCCTCTTGCAGCTCATACTCAATATTAACATCACAACTGTTCCCGCTTTCTGACGGCCAGCAGTTAACTGAGGACACAGAAACACCACCTTGAGCCAGGCATAAAACATGGAAAGGGCTTCCAAAAAGATGCAAGTGCCACAGGAACTCTGAAGACAAGTTTTTTTGTTTTCTCCAAGAGCGTTACGGAAAACAGTCACGCAGGGAACAACAGGCTCCATCCAACAGAAGACATGCAGGATCTCCAACATCTCATGGGGTGCCATGCTCCAGAGGCAGCACAGCCACCACGAGGCCAGCTACGAGCCAGCGGCCCACAGATGAGCACGGGCCTGTTCTGCCCTGGACAGAGGCTCACACTCACTTGTCAGTGGAATGAAGGACTCCTCTGTGGTCTGCAGCCTCCACTTCAGCACGCCTACGTCGCTGTTGATAGGGAATGACTTCTCCGGGTTCTTCAAGCCGATCTGTGATTCTGCAGTGAAGAGCTTCTTGTCCACGTTTGGATGGGTCTGGAAGGGGAAGACATGCCCAGGCTGTGACTCTGAGCCTAAGGACAGAACCGTACACAGGTAACGTGGGTTCCAACAGGAAAGGCCTATGCATCCCAGCGTAGCTGCCCTGACAGCACACACTTCTGTTTTGCTCCTGGTGCAGAAGCCTGACTGGAGCACATCTGCTCATCAGCCTGGGATTCCTTCCAGAAAACCCTGACCCACCAAGAAGAATCCACCACACCGCTGCTGCTTCACATGTCACTCTGCCAAAGATTCTTGCAAGGATGTCCTGGGCTGGTACCTACAGATCAACCATAACATTTCTCAAAATCCCAAGGACCACCCCGAGGACAGAGAACAGGCATTTCTCTTGAAGAAAAGGTAACACCATCTTGCTGGGAAGAATACTCTGAAAACACAAAAACCCACCTTCCCTCAGCCACCTGAACAGACACATGACAGCAATTGGGCTGCATTCAAACACTCTCTCCCCACCACAGCAGCATGAGCAGCTCTCCAGCAGCAGAGGATTGCTGGAAGTCCACGTTCAAGTTCCTCTAGAAATGCTGGCATGTGAAGTTTGCTCTAACACTGCCCACCTACATCTCCACCACCCAAAACTGCAGAGCACCAGGCAAGGCTGCAGCACAGTCAGGGCAAGGTCAGAGGGCACAGCCCTGCACGGCAGGACTCCCAAGGCCACGTGGCAGGGCGGAAGCTGCTCAAAGGCACATTTCTCAAAGGAACTTCAGTCTCCCGAGCATGAGCTGGCCCCACAGCCACACTGCAGTAGTCTGCTGGGAAGGCTTGGAAACAACAGAGGACAATGACGTGCTCTGATTTGCAGCCTCGTGGAGCAGCAAAAGCACGTCAGACAGCACAAGACACCCAACAGGCTGTACCTGCAGCTGCACTCCCCTCTTGTCTTCGTTCTCAACATGCAGGCGAATGCGGGCACACTTCTCATCAGAAATGTGCAGCATGATCATGCCGTGCAGCTCCATGTTCTGCAACCCTCCATCACGGCCGCACGTCAAGGAAATTTTCTCATCTATCTTCATGTGCACGCTACAGACAGAAAGCAAGAAGGCATCTCAAGTCCTACACTGGACGTGTAAGAGGCAGGATGAGAGACGACCAAGGACAGGCTACGCACCAGGAGCGGGCACTCCCAAAAGCATGATGGCCCCGAGCACGTGGCACGGGTGCCGCAGCGGAGGCTCACGCCGCTCCGACAGGTTCAGGCTCACTGGGGGCCCAGCAGCTCCGTGGAGCCCGTCCGCCCCGGGCGGCA